ACACACACACACACACGCGCGCAGACCCCGCAAGAGCCGGGCCCCCTCTGAGAGAAAGCGTTGGAGGCTGCAGGAGAAACGGGATGTCAGCGGCTCGCCGCACAGAATTCTTCCATACTTTAAAAAGCCCCTTCCCTGTGCTGTAATCATCAGGACAATTTGTGAGCTTTGTGATGACTGTGCTGATTTTTCGTTCGATGTTGATGCATTTCGAGCCTGTGTCCGTAGCACTGGGTCTGTTCGCTAGCTTGGCAACGACTGCAGTCCGGGCCTTATCCGATGTACGCAAAGCCCGGACTCACAAATCCTACTGAGGCTGTTCAAATCTGGGGCCCGGGGCTTTAGATTCGCCAGGCCCCGGAAATGCTGATGTTTGAGGGCGCCGGGGGCAAGAAAGCGATTAAGAGTCGATTGGCGCCGCGTCCACATATGATTGAGTCCTGGCCTGCGAAAGCGAGGCCGATGCCTTCGGCGTTCCGACCAGTAGTACCAACCCTTTCTGGTCAAGGTGCAAATTGACTGCAGATACACAAAAAGCATGTTTAAGCATTGCAAAAATGTGCTGCGAACAATTTCATTACCGTTTGCTACCAGGAGGCAATCGGCCACGACACCATCAGCACGACCGTCACTCAGCTTGGCTATCATGGCTATCACCATCACCATCTCCATCACCATCATCACCACTATCAGCCAGAGTATTAGAACATCACAGTCCATTGCCCAGGTTTGGACTTTGACCTTCAAGCTCACTGAACACCCGCCTGCATGAAGTAGGGCGTTGCAGCACTTGGCCTTAGCAGGCAGGCAAGGCAGGCCAAGATTGTACTACCAGCAGAAAGGTAATGTTCTTCAAGGCTTCACGGTCTTGTGGTGGAGGACGTTAATTGCTGAATGGACGTCCGGCGGGAGCATGCTGTTTCGGCTAATCCTACGACGTGGAAGAAGACTACATCTGCCACCAGCATCAATACTCTCCCTCGCATTTGCTGTCTGCTTCTCTGGCTGCAAATCTTCGTTCTGCGACGGGTACCGACGTATAGACTAGCGGATATACATGCTTCCGACGTGCACTATATCGTATCAGGTCATATTTGCGTATTCAAGCTTGCCCCCACAAGCATTTACCTTCATGGTTCTTACCATTCAGCTGGTATTGCTACTGCTTCTGATGTGGATACACGATAATGGTTGGGGTCCTCATTCTGTATTCTCACTGCTATGGAATAGTCGATGAAACCAAGAGGCATGAACACCCCTAAACCCTAAACCCCTAAACCTTTAATGTAGGAGCATCATGACATATTCTGGTGCACCAGAGACTACGAGTATTCTTGGCAGGTGGCTCGGGCCGATAGGACACGGGGACTTGGAGCCAATTTTAGTATATTATCGTCTATTCTAGTATAGATGCACTGTTCGCCTTGCGTCCTGCCGAATGAGCATGACAGGTCCGCATTCAAAAGCATCTGCTCGCGACAGCTCGTGAAAGCGCCGGCGTGTGTCTTTCCAGGCAGTCACAATAATCAATGTCACTACGTGCATGCATGCAGACCTGCACGCATGAACCGGTATACACACATATGTGTATATATATATATATACATACATCTGAATCTAAACACATACAACACGCTTTGTACGCGAACCCCCTGTGCTTTCGATGATGATGATGATGATGATGATGATAGTTATGCCTAGCAGCATGTGCAAAGTAGGCGGAAGATGCGTGATCGATATGCACTGTGACATACTATGGTATGTTCTACGGTGCTGAATCTACCTTACTTCATCTTTCTGAACATTGCCGCCTAGGGACATCTAGGGACTCTGCACATACGAGAATCCTCCTACTCATTTTTCAGACGCTCATTTATTTATGTTTAATCTGTACAGCAACCTCTACAGAACCCGTATATTAATCCCAAACCCTAAACCCCCTATAGAACCCCAAAGCGGCAACCCAAACCCGTCTCCGAGGGCCCAGCCCGCCAGCACCAGCTTCAGGTTGC